ATGAGTTATTGCCCTTGTTTTTGAAAATGCGTTCAATTTGTAGCACGTAAACACTCTAGAAGTCACAATTCTTGATGGATTTTGACGAAACTTGGTGTGAGTGTATGTAATCATCCAAAGATGAACCCTAACAAAAATCAGAAAAATCGAAAAATATTATTACCCCTGTTCTTAAAAACGCGTTCAAGTTTTAGCCTGTAATCACTCTAGAAGGCCCAATTCTTGACAGATTTTGATAAAACTTGGTAATGTTATTAAGTATCGCCTCAAAAAGTTCAAAAGAAGTGTATGTCTGAAGGTTGAATATTTCATACTGGTAATTATAACTGTACTGCCAAATATTTTATTTAAAATCAAAGCTGCCAATGGGCGCATATTACCTTACCCATGGCAAGCTATCTTCCTAATTCGAACCCATTTACAGCTGCATGGTCAACTGAAATATTGGGGAGGGCAAACTCATTCTAGGTCGCACTCCAATCCAGGCCCTGTATTCTCGAAACGATCTTAGCACTAGGATGTCCTAGAATCAATGTTAGAGGATAATAATCTAGGATATCTTAGCGCTAAGATCGTTTCGAGGATACGTGGCCAGATCATTGAAATAGAATAATAATGATAATAAATCATAATAATCTGTTAGGAATTGGTAATCTCTCAGGTGAGATATTGAGATGACTCAAAAGAGTCAAGGTCCATAACTGATATTTTTTAAACTTTATATATTCTTACTGAGACTGTGTACATGTTATAAACACTAAACGATTTCTAATATAAATCTTTAAAAAGTTCTGTAATTTATCCAAGCCTATAAGCAATGATTTTGTTTATCGGTCAAGCAAGTATTGGACACTTGGTGGTAAGAGGCATCAACCGTAAATTGTAATGGAATAATGTAACAAATCATTTCGTATGCCAGACATATATCAATATTATCTCAACATTGCCAGATATGAATAGAACTGGACATGTCGTATCTTCTAAGAAATTTTAGCACAGAAAGCATCAAAACATGACTAAAATCGTATTCGATCTACTGATAATGAAATTACAGACACAATTCAATCCTGCGTTCTACCTACTTTTCTCCTATCCTTTAAGTTAATCGTAATCACTGATTTTTTTCCCTTTTCCGTCAAGTTGTCATAAGCAATTTTATGGGTGTCAATTATTCCACAATTTCTTGAAAGTGCACGCTGGATTAAGCATTATAATTTTTTGTGGTCCTATTATGACTTTTTACCTCACAATACCACTGAGACAAAATTGCATTTCTAAAGAATATTTCTATTAATATTTTAAAGTAAGGCTATGGTTAAGACACAATATAACAGTTAGCATTTATCTAATAAACAAATATCCTCTGGTAAGCCTATCTTATAATACCGATCTAACATAAAGCAATCATATTTTAAGTCAAAAACACAACAAGAGAAGGTTAATGGTTCATTGAATTTTGTTTCATTGTGAAAATTTAAAAAAATCATTAGTACTAAAACCGGTTATTCAATTGTCACCTGTTTCCATGTTAAATTACGAAATACAACCTTCTATAACTTTTTCTCGAAATGTCGTTGAAAATTTTCCAACAGGCCTATCAGCAAGCCAAACTGAAAGTAGACTACTACTTGACTTGACTTTCACTGCACACAAAACGACTACAAAACGAATTATCCTTTCGCATGAAAGTCTCTCATCATCTCACAAAATCTGAAGAAAAATGCTATTTTAGACATCAAAATTCTAGACAAAAAATTAGAGGGAGAAAAACAGGACTAATAAAATCATTTACATAAAAAGTTTCCATTGAGCGGCGAAGGCCACTAACTGTAGATATCCCCCTTTACTCATATTAAAGTTCGGTTCAGTTTTTCGATGTTGGTAGATTCGCCCAATACCATACTATATTATACTTCATTGAAAAACATTGATATACTATATGAATTCCTTCAAGTATAAATTATTTCATAAAAACTTAAATTACAGAATTTATTGTAGTCCAAATTTACACTTCAGAAAAGAAGTTACTTCCCTTACCTTGGACATCTACCCATCTGCTTAAAATCTAAACTTGTCCCCCATTCCATCTAAATCTGCGTACTGAAGAAACCTGTTAGCGATAAGCGAACACAGAAGGGTATCAGTTTACTTTAAACCCAGCTTGATGATAGTATGTCTTAGAATGAACATAAAATTTAAGTTCTCAAGAATGGTCAATATGAGTAGGCCTATATATTCATCAGTAAACTTACCTGGTGTCATAAAATTACAACAGAATCCCTGTAATTAGTAATAATTACTAAGTTTTTTGATTTATCGGATTATATAAGGATCCTGTTATGTTATTTATGGCACTAGGTATATCTACAGATGAATATACATGATCCGATAGTATTCCTTTAAAGTTTTAAATATGAGAGAAATATGAGAAAACAGTAAACATACAGGGGCAGTATTTTTAGTATCAAAAACGCCATTTTACTTGAAAATGTTTTTAAAATGTGTTTTTGCATCTACATCTATCTATTTGATCAAACTTGAGTAAACAGGTTCTCAAAAAACGTAGCGTTGTCTACTAATAATAGGTTATCAAACAGTTAAAACTAATTTTGCAGTTGGGCTTCTTAAAGACTCGATATTTTTAGTTGAAACCTTTCGAATACGAAGGAGATATATTTCTCTACTATAAATTATAGGCGTTGATTTTGCTTAAATTCGTAGTTTACACACCTACCAAAATCATAACGAATTTTAAAAAGTTTATGTAAACCTTTGAGATAGTTTTAGCTTTGAAAAAAATAACTGCAGATTTATTCTTTTATTTCGAATTCGAATTTGTAAAATGTGCTCCTATAAATCAATTCGAATTCATTTCAATACAAAATTTCTTCTATTTCCTTTACAGATTTATAGGATCAGTTAAATACTACACTTGAATAAACATTACTACACTCAGTTGGAGACTGGGCAAGTGGTAGGTGACAATTTACCTCGTCGCCGGTCACATCAAAGACGATAGAAAAATTGAAAGATATCAGTTTAAGGCCTGAGGGGAATTGGGTATTTGAACATTTGAATGTCGGTCATTATTTCAGATCTACAGACAATAATTATAATTAGAGATTTTTCAGATATGATTATTGCATTCCAATGTTTTCGTCATATTTTCCTAGGCAATACATGTGACTTAATGACAACTTTCAGTTTTCACCAAATTCGGCACAGGTTGTCATATCAGTTATGTCTGTGTTGTTTTCGAGAAGAAAATATCTTTTGAATTCATCAATCAAAATCTGCTAAATTGTTTCAATTCTGGCTAAATTTAATTTCTAGATAAAACTACTAATGGTTTTTCAATTTTCTTTTTTTAGTCTATTTATTTTATTTTTACTTTTTTCCCCGAAGAATTTAAGAAGAAATAATTTGACTGAGGTCTATAACCTCAAACATGAATAAGAGAAATCACAAACGATTTGTGTTTTATTTTTTTCTTAGATAAAAACATAATATTTAAAACAATTTAGTGAAAAAAGCATCGACTATCTATCTGAATAAGCATCCGAATGACCGAAATATGTCTATTTATGAATGGAAACCAAAACGTTATATTTATGCAAGTGGCGGTAAGTCATAAAGGGAAAAATTTGAGGATAAAATTTGTAATAAACTATCATCAGAGATCAGACTTGGTGTCTAATGTTTCACCTTGTGGCCAAAAATCGGATTTTAAAGAATGATTATGGGTTTAATGCTCTTGTCGCCATTTGTATATAATCGTGACCCGAGTGACCTTAACCCGACTAAAATCAACCAATCGGATTATGATAAAATATGCCGCTACGCGGCGATGTTGAAAGAATTATAAAATGAAGATAGAAAAGAAGGTTTAATGACTGTTTAATGACTTCATACTTTTTATTATACGCCAATTTTATTCAATCCACAGGAATAAAAGAGATTAAAGCCCTTTGATTTAATTATTTTATCAAAAGATGACGAATATTATGGGTTTATTTTTTCATGCATAGAAATCTGTCATAAAAATTTGTTACTGTCACAAAACGGTGACAGTAAAATTGAACTTTTTGAATGATTAATTGAATTCATTATCTTTGATTGAAAAAATTTACCGCCGGGTCTCTCTCTCTCTGCTGAATATAGCTCTCAATTCGTTCTTTGCAACTACTATTCGTGACTGGAATAATCTTGATGAAAACATAAAATCGACTGATAATTTGAACTCACTTAAATATAACTTGAAAAAGAGACTTTATGTTGATAATGCCCCGAGCTTTTTCTACAATGGACCAAGACGTGAAAATATTCTTATAACCAAGATTCGTCATAGATGTAGTGCGCTAAAATCTGATCTACTCAATTATAACATAGTTGATGATGCAACATGTCCTTGTGGTCTATCAATAGAAGATGCTAATCTTTTCTTTTTTCATTGTCCTTTGTATTCTGAACAACGGCAACAATTATTCGATGATCTCATTGATCCTAGAATTATTAGTTTAAATATTTTATTATGGGGTGATCCTCGTGGTAATTATGAATTGAACTCCAAAATTCTAAATCATGCAATGCAATACATAAAACAATCACATAGGTTTGCATAAGGCCAATGTCTTCTTTTACTTCGACTGATGCGTTGTTCCTGGTTGATGTATCGTTCTTAACGGCAGCTATATTGTATATATGTTACCTATCTCGATTCCTATTAAATATGTTATGTGTCACTAAATTGAAATTATTGTAATGTAATCTTCCATAACATGAAATTATTATCTGGAGGGGATTTTTCTAAGTTTATGTAACTTGCATCCCATCCATTTGTATGATCAATAAAATGTGTTAAATCAATCTGCTGAGTTACCCCTTTTTTCGCTGATGTGTAGTCGGAATTGTAACTTCGAAACCGATGAAACTTTTTCTGGTTTAAAAATAAATATTGTATTTATTTGAAGTTTTGCAATCTAGAACAGAGAGTGGGTAGGTTATGGACTATAGAACAGAATGTATGTAAGTTTTGAACTATAAAACAGAATATAGGTAGGTTCTGGATTGATGAACAGAGTGTAGTCAGGTTTTGAACTATATAACAGAATATAGCTAGGTTCTGAACTGGTGAACAGAGTGTAGGTAGGTTTTGAACTATAAAACAGAATATAGGTAGGTTTCAAACTATAAAACAGAATGTAGGTAGATTTTGAACTATAAAACAGAATATAGGTAGGTTCTGGACTGATGAACAGAGTGTAGGTAGGTTTTGAACTATAAACCAGAATATAGGTAGGTTTTAAACTATAAAACAGAATGTAGGTCGGTTTTAAACTATAAACAGAATGTAGATAGGTTCTGGA